TTATATATATATACACATACTTACATATATACTTATATAGGCCTATATATATACTTATATATACACTTATATTCTTATATACTTATATATAATGTACACTTATATATAAGTATATATACACACACATAAACATATATATATATACATACATATGTACATTCAGTAAAGCTGATGAAGGCCAGAGGACTGGCCGAAAATTTCTTTCGAAAATAAATGAAGTGTTCTACAGTCTACATGTATAAATATATATATATGAATATATATATGTATATGTGTATATGTATATGTATATGTGTATATGTATATGTGTATATATATATACGTATATATATACATATATGTATATATATATATATATATATNNATATATATATATATACACGTATATATACTTCTAAAAGTCGTGTATCATGCATAGGAACGTTGACGCCTGCAAGGCTCTGGTTGTCACATTCTTGCATAGCCTCATCGCATAAACATGGGCTTAGCCATAGACTCATTGGCCATCGTAGTCGAAAGTAACATCTTATTCTACAATTCAGCAATTTAAATTTGTCCAATAGTTTAAATATTTCATACAGAAATTGCAAAAAAAATGACTTTGTGACAGTATTTAAGCTGAATATATACCTCTCGTGAATCTGTGAATAATTCAAAATGTATACATTGTTATAAAAATATCTTCTACGCTAACTTCTTTACAATTTAGACAGTTCCTTTAACATAAAATTTCCATGCATGATTTGTCTGAGTAATCGTTCTTGATTCACTAATATCGTAGAGGGCGTTTGAAGCGCTGTGTCACAGTAGCCATTTGTACGGCCGCCGATTGGTTCTTGAATGGGCTGAAGCAGACGACACTGTTGAGACCTTGCGCAAGAAGACCGCTGACCGATTCTTAGAAGGTTTGTGATTTTCGTTTTAATGATTCATTGAAATTACTTATTTTATTTATTTATTTATTCAAATTACCACAGTTGGGTGTGGAATGCCGTTCAGGCAACAATTTGATGATAACCAGTGAATTGTCGATGATAAAAAAAAACCGTAAATCGTCGATGATGAACTGTGAACCGTCATTGATGAAAAAAGTGAATCGTAACTGATGTGAGGGCGCTAACAAAAATAACAATTCCAGATCCAGCGATAACTAGATTAAATATCAATTCCAAACATACTATTGATTATACGCACAACCAGAACCACCAAATTTTTTTTAGAGCTGCCTGCATAGAAAAAAACTGAAAAAGAATTTGCTAAAATAAAATGTTTAAAGCCCAGCAGAAGCAAACACAGCACTTAATTAAAAAAAAAATTTTTAATAATTCAAGTAGTAGTACAAAGTGCAACTAATTTAGAGCATGTTCAATAATTTATTAATGCTTCAGGCCGAATTTGGCAATTAAGTGAAATTAAAATTGTACCAGCAATATGTTAATCGAAACTCTGGTATTTATTAATTTGTAGACCTATTTCCAAATATAATGCATATTGTATTGCATCCTGTGTATTTATAACAAGAGGTTTTATTTAATTGCCCACATGTTAACATTTTACAATAGACTGCACATTGTTTTAGGGGTTGTTAACAATTATCAACATTTTCACGAGTGTACAAACAGACTCTTTTTCAGTATCCACTCCTCTGTGAAAGTGTACAAAAAAATGTTGATTTTGCAAAACCATTCTCCATTTTTTTGGTTGTCATCAAAACATACTTTATGTAATTAGGATCATCTCCATAAGGATAAACTGCATTAGGATCATCTCCATAAGGATCATCGCCTTAGGATCATAGGATTAACTCCAAAAGGATCATCTCCATAGGATTAACTCCTATAGAATCATCTACATTAAGATCATTTCCACAAGATCATTTCCATAGGATCAACTCCTATAGGACAATCACTATAGAATCACATCCTATAGAATCAACTCCATTAGGATCATCTTTATAGGATAAATTCCTATAAGATCATTTCTATAGGACAAACCCATTAGGATCCTCTCTAAAAAATTATTTTGACTTCTTAAAGCCTAAACATTTTTGTCTTTTAAAAAATTGAACTTTTTGTGGAATTGTTCTTTATTACATTTATATAATGTATTTATAAGTTCAATGGAGGCCTAGAAATAAAATATGTGGCAAAGACAAGCCAAACCAGTCACTCGTCGGAAAAATCAATTTTTAGTTATTAATACATGGTTTAACAGTACAATGAGAGCTATAAAATGGTAAAAAAATCATTTAAATCCGACACTTCGTTATGAAGTTACACAAGTTTAAACATACAGCTGTTTAGAGAACAATATTTGAGAAATCAGCCTTCAAAGTTTACGATTTTAGGCATTTCTTAGGCAGAAACCATCACCAAATGAGGAAAATAACAGCATAGCATGATGTATAGATATATAAAGGTTAGTTTAGTGCAATAAAATAGATTTTATTTTGACATTCCAGCATGTTTTGGCCATTATCTCCAAAACAGGATTTGCAACAAGTGACTGGTTTGGCTTGTCTTTGCCACATATATTGAAAAAAATTTGGCTTGTCTTTGCCACATATATTGAAATAAATACACCATTGCGATTTTCTTTTTTCTCTTTTTTTTTTTTTTTTTTGTTCCCCCCCCCCCCCTTTTTTTTAATAATATTTTTTTTTTTATTTTTTTTTTTATCTTTTTTAATTTTTTTATTTTTTTTTTTTTTTT